TTGATTTTTGACAAAATATTGATTTTTGACAAAATATTGATTTTTGACAAAATTGCGGCTTCACAAAAAAAGTCGCCTTTTGTGAAAAAATATACACTTATTATAATATATACACATCGAAATTATTATAAAAAATATTATTTCTTCAATCATTACTTGACAAATTTATTTAACAAGGTTGTATGTAAATTTGAAGTCGATCTCACCGACTTCGACGAAAACTTCGTAAAAAATTCGTACAAAACCCATACATAAAAACCTTTTTGCCGGATTACCCTCAAATTTTTGGAGCACATTCTCAAATATATAATACATACATATGTATGTGAATTCAATAATGTATATGCAAAACAAAAATCGAGTTTTTGAAATTCCCAACTGGATATAACCTAAATACAACTAGACGAATCCGAAAACTAGGTGATCTACTACTCGGTCACAACAGCTTTTGAATTACTAACGAGAGCTAAGGAGTCTATAGACCGTCTCAGCGAGTCAAGGGAGTAAATAATATGACCCTAAACTAGCCGCACACTTATAAATTAAATCAAATTGTGATCGGCTGACGGCAGCTAAGACAACTCGGTCAAAGTGAGATATATTTAATAGAGCAGGAGAGAGATATGTTCTCGATATTGGATTGGCGAACAGATTTTGTTCTTTTATAATTAATCTTCAACTAATGTTTGACATTTCTCTCCAGTAGCTGGGGGAGAGGTAGTATAGGCAAGAGGACTTGCATAATTCGTACGTATAGATTAAAATATGCTGCAGTTTATAGATCGGGATATTCTCTATAATAAATATCTATCATGTATCTTACTGTGTCAGCAGCTTCCGAAAGCAAGGAAGCCTAGTAAAATGGGCGAATATTGTTAGAATCGCCAACGGCTATCTCAAGCAACGATCAGTGTTGCTAAAATGAGTAGAAGAACAATGTGAAATCCCCTTAGGGTATAAAGGCGGGTTCGAATTTGAAATTCTCTCAAATTATGAAAAAGAGGTGGTAAGAAGTAGGAAATTGTACATGAGCTTCGCGGTAAAAAGTTTCTCGTCTGTTGAATAACTTTGGAAAAAGTCGAAACGATAAATACATATGGCAGTTGAAAACTCAAAATTGTATTCGAATATTTTGTAGAGCTTGGCGCCGCTCACGTTACGTCTTGTTTATCTGTTTTTAGACGAATTTCCAAATTATTACACAATTAAGGCAAATTAACGAAGTAAAGCGCATACTGAAAGCGTGTATGTGATTATCACCCAATTAGTTGAAATCCAGAACAAAGCAGAATCTAGGCTTACGACACGAAACCACTAGTTTGGAAGCGGTTTAAATATTTAAAATTATACTGGTTGTAAACCTACGCCAAAAAATTCAAATTTTGATAGAAAATCTGGTAAATAACCACCGCCTTTGGCTTATCTTGCTTCAGCAATTAATACGATTGTGGTTTGTATATATTATGTAGACATACATACATATACATATGTATATGCATATAAATATTTCACATCGGAGACACTAATAAGGCTTCACAGCGTATCATTTATTTTGTATGTTTTCTCGCTTTTCCGCTTAAAATCGATTAAAAAGAAGATGTTTTAGCGAATGATTTCATAGACGTTGCTAGCGAAGGTTAACCGCTGATGAAGTCACAACGAGTACACCCTGTAAAAAGTGTAAAGAATTTGCATAGTGAATCAGCATCGATGGCGACTGCGAAACTGCGTGAATTTCGCTTTAACCGTACAACATCTGGAAAGCGAGAACAATACACCAAGATAAGCTCTGATAGCAGCCAGCAAAAACGAAAGCGATTGAGCAAAGCTAGAGAGCAGTGGTTTGCAAATACTTTAAGCTGCAGAAATATTTATTATTTAAATGTTTTATTGGAAATAATGCATAAATGTTTTTGTGTTTTGCGGTTTTTTGGATTTTTTTATTTTCCTCAAATTTTTTAGGATTGCTTGTGAAGTCACAGCTACTATATTAATGTTAAGGCACAATCCAATTTTATTAAACAAATATATGCTTATCGTTTACGAACTGTAAATAATGCGAAGAACGAGACAGTAACCCTTATTTTTTTTTTTTAGAAAAAGTATTGGTTTCGAAAAAGAGCGTATATGTATATAGAATTGTACATAAGATGCAAATGTTGTTTTGTTTTGAATGCCACGTTAGCTTCAGCTACATCTTAAAGGGTGTGTCGAAGTGGTCTAATCGGGGTTGTCTTCTTAAGGGGTTATATTCACTTGTACGTCAGAAAAAACTCGTTGGTTTTAAGAGGCATTTTATTTAAAAATTAAATTTAAAAAATGGAAATTTACAGACTTTAATGTGCTTTAATAATCGGCGTTTAATTTTGAAGAAATTTGGATTTCCTTGATCCCGTAGCCGAGCTCCAGGAGGACCACCGAAAAAAGTTGTCTGGCGACGATGAAGGTTTTTATGCTTAAAATCTCTCAAATCCAAAAACCAAAAAATATATGGTATATATAATTACTACAGATGAGTACAGGTAATGATCGAAGGAGTAGTCAACATTTTGAATTTTGACAAAATTATGGTTTCCCAAAAAAAAATTACACTTCAGAGTGACTTGACTAAATCGAAAATCATCAAAAATCGTATCTATTCAATCATTACCTGACAAATACATATATCTAATAAGGTCGTGCGAAAATTTCAACTCGATTGATCCAGCTATTTTGGAGAAATTTTTCTCAACGACTCTGAAAACAGCGTTTCGACAAAAACGCGTTTGAAATTTTGGAAGCCGATACACTAAGTTGAAAAATTCTTATAAATACTCTCATATCTCCGAAACGTTTGGAAAATATTCTTAAATATATGCACTTTCGATATATATATACAAAACCAAAAATCGAGTTTTGAAATTCACAATAGCGCTCAAAGAGTATACAATAGGAAATATAGAAATGTAAGAAGATAAAATCTAATAGGGGATTATAGGGTTCTCCCTTATAAAATTTGGCAGCTTAACCACGAAATGACGTTTATGAGTTCCCATGAGCTGTTCTAAACCATTCTTACTCAAAAAGACGTGCAAATTGTGGAAGTTTAGTCCATACTTTCAAGTTACTCTTCCTAGCGCGTGCAGAATATCATTTTTCAGAACTCTCAGGCTCTCCGCTTTACTATTGGTGAGACCTGGGTGGATTCTGCAAATTCAGCATCTCATCAGTTTAACGAGTTTTGTTAGAAGATTCTGTATGAAGTTGAGAGGAAAAATTGAAGCAACATGAAAGTGAAGAAATAACACACTTTCAATTTTTGTGATCTCTGACAAAAGTAAGGAAGCTACCGTTAATAATCTACTAAACAACCAAAATAAATTGTCGTCCATATACAATATAGGGTATTTTTCCGAAATTTGGAGAAATTCTTAAACCAAATACTAATGACTAAATGTTTCGATCACCTGTGAGTAAAATTATCGGAACGAGCTCGGAATTGCAGTGAGATTTTTATATCACTAAAACAACAATAGCAATCACGTAAGAGCATCGCACAATGACAAGAATTTAGAATTAGGCTTGCACCGCGACCTAGGGTATATTGTGCCTTGTTGTTGTTGTTGTAGCGGCAGAATTCTGCCGAGTTGACAGTCCTTGGCCGGAATAAATCCGGGTCCGTTCCGGTTACGTAGACCCGACTGTCGTGGGAACGGTATATTGTGCCCTCTCCTCTATCACATGTATTCCCAAAGGCCTAACACCCTGCCGAACTACAGAAACCTGCTGGGTGCTATTCAGGTAATGTGATTGCTGTCCACATAAATGGAAACGAGAGCCTTGAGCCTGTGTCTACAAATTGCTGTGCAATCTAGAATCAGGTGTTCGAGTATATTGGACAGGTGTTTTTTGAGCCTGTAATTTCCAGTGTAGAGCGCGATTAGGAGCCGGAATTTGTCTCCGGGGAGGTTGATCATAGCTTTGAAACTAGCTAGGTTGTACACTCCCAATAGCAGCTTGCTGCCAGTGACTTCCACTCTCTCATCCATGCGGAGCACTTCCTTCACCACGCACCACGATGCGTGATTCCGGCCCCATCATCTTAGAAACACCAGCAGAGCGAGCGACTCGTTGCCAGCTACCGCTCTATGCCCCAGCACCCAGATCAGGTAACACGCACAATGACAAACCGCAATGCAACTTGTGTCACCCTTTATCTTTTGAAATGATCATCGTTATACGATCACACATTTAAAATAGAGAGCTTACGGCGCTTCTAAGCTCAAGTTCTGAGCACATATACATACATACATATGTAGTTAAACACCAGCACTGGCATTGCTCATTCGTGCTCACAAGCATTGATTCCAAACACGACAACCACCTTGGCGATCTCGCTCAGCCGCCACAGTGATCAGTCTCTGTTGTGAACGCGAACGTGTATGGATCGTTTAGAGAAACGCGCGTCTAACCGATATAAGTGTGAAGTGCCCTTTTTTTATTGTCATACATACAAACATTTTTGAGTGAAAATTAGAAAGAATTGTTTGTAGAAAACTTTGTTGTTTTATTGAAAACCAGTTTTTGTAAATACAAGTGCGAAGATGGCCAAATACGTTACGGACAAAGCGTTATTCAATGTCAGCCTGCGTAATGCCTGCTTGAGCATATCGATATTCTTTCTCGTCATGCTGGTGCTGGGCGTCATAGCGCGACCGAGTTGTAAGTGAAAAATTAAATGGAATCGAACGAAATCGAAAATCACAAAATAATAGAAGTAAATAATAAAAATAAATATAGAAAATATAAACAGAAATTACTGAGCTGCTTGAGCTTCCAAAGGGCCCGAAAACAAAAGCGATCGGTTTCGAATTTATTTACTTGAGTAAATTGTAAAACAAAAACACAAGCAAAAACGTCATTCTCGATTCCCTTATAATAGCCTTCACAAATACAAAAGCATACATACAAGATAATGATTTTGTTCGTTCAGTTTGGTTTGGTTTTGGCAGCTACATGCTATAGTTGTCCGATATCGGCGGTTTCGAAAAATTCGCAGCTTCTTAGGGAGAAAAAGACTTATGCAAAATTTCAGTTGAATATTTCAGAAACTAAGGGACTAGACTAGACAGACGGTCAGCCAGACATTACTGACTCAACTAGTTACGCTGATCATTTATATATACATTATAACATTTCCGATGTTCCCTGGCAAACTGAAAATACAATTTTCATGATATAAACATCAAAAAATAGCTAAAAATCAAATAAATGTCGAACCACAAACCGCTGGAGGGAGCTGCGGTGACTCTGTTCTGCTTTCATTGTATTTTCTTTTTGGCGCATTTTAGTCACTTTGTCTACAAAAACAAACAGCAATCAATGTGTCGTGGGTGCTGTGAGGCACATTTTCAAATTCTCGTTATTTTTATACACTTTGTGAAAATCGTGTATTATTAATTGTTTCGCATTTCTGTTTATTGCCTTCGTCTGTTTTGTTGACATCATTTTGCTCAGAGATCTTATTGTTGTTTATTTTTGGTTTTGCTTGATCTCATTATGCATTTGTTGTTTAAATTGTTCAATGACTAATTTTGTAGCGTAACTTTTTTGTTTGCTGACACACAACAGGTTTGTCAAATTTTGGATCTTACTTTTAAATGCAACGGTATTTAAATATACTGGTTTAATTCCAAATAAAGTTTTCGAATAGGTTTCATAAAATATATGTACTACTAGAGAAATGTTAACCTCAAAATATATGGAGACTGTTTCCACTTTTATAAATTGTGTTGAAACCAATCGTTTTAGATAACTGTACAATTTTTAGTCGAATTTATCTTCTTATTTATGACGTGTGGGTTGATATTGTTAACCATCGGAGATTATAAGCCTCCCCAGAGACCCCAGACTCAAGAAGCAACTGTCCAATATGGGCATAGCCTCTTGTGCAAACTGTCGGATTTGCGACATGAAACCAAAAACTCTTGAGCACCTGATTTTAGATTGCACAGCAATCTGTAGACGCAGGTTTAGGGCCTTTGAATACATACATAAATATGTATATCCGAATAAGCAACACATCTCCTCAAAAGTTTCTGGAATTCATCAGAGTGCTAGGCCTTTGGTGAGTACGTGTGAGTGAGGGGAGAGCACAATGGTCCCTATTTGTGATTTATGATTTAAAACCGCTCAGAAAATATTAATAACGAAGGTCTGACATTTTTATATAGTGTTGTTTATATAGCTTTCCAAGCTATTATTGTCAAATTTTATTTCTCTGGACTAAATTGCACAGGCAATGAGTTAGTAAAATTCTCTCAAAAAACAAAAACAAAAAAAAAACACTCCATACGATGGAATATTTAATTAATATTTGCTGTATAGCCAATATATAGTTAACAGTTAGTTTAGTTTAGAAAATGTTTAAGATCCAAGATTGTAGAAGATCCAATACTTAAATAGTTAAAATTTTACACGTTAAACTTTGAGGAAGATCTAACAGTGAAGATCTTAATAATACCTCACTTTATCTCTGAGATAATCGATTACTTGGCTATGGGAAACTAGAACCGTTTAGAAGTAATGTATTTATATAGAATAAATGAGAAGAAGTATTTTTTTAGGATAAACCGCTCAGCTAACATCTGTACATAGATATGCTAATTAATAAAATTTGTTTTTTTTTTTTTGCTTAAATTTCAGATTTGCAAAGAAGTTCTTCACTTGTAGAATTCATTATTGAGCTGCTCGCCAATTTGGCGCTGCTATTCGGTGTTTTGCGGGTAAGTGGTGTACATTTTTTAGGTATAAGAATAAGTAAAAAATGCAATCCTAATTTCTGAACAAAAACTAATTACAGAGCAACGCTTGGCTGGTCTTGGCTTGGCTTGTCGTCGCCGTGCTGTTCTTCATACATTGGCCCATCGCTGTTTTGGGTGTAATTTTCAATTATGGCGACTATCGCGCAGCTGCTTACTTCGATAATGTATTTCTCATACTATTCGAATATATACTGGCTTTGGGTAAATAAATAATGAAATACATACATATGTATATAATATATATTGAACAGACTGAAGGTTAGACTTCGAGAGTAATTTGAGTACTACAAATTGGTATAACAAGCATAATAAATACAAATGCAGTTATTGTTGACTAAAACCATTTTTTTTTTCTTCCCCACATTTTCAATTAATCATTATCAAAAATTTATTTTTTTGTTTCAGTGATTTTTGGCTACTGCTCATATCTTGTCTACTCCTACTTCCATCAATTGCGGAATAGTCAGTCATCGACACCACATGGCGTTGTCGTGTAAATACATAATATACCTATGTACTTAGCCATATACTATGCTACATGCATATACATAAATGCATTATGAGTACAAAATCGAAAACACCAAAATAAGTTTTTTTGTTTTTGTTTTAATTTTACGGCGGCAATGTGTAGCCACCTTAATGCAGTAAGCATATTTTATGTATGAATTTTTAAATTATTATCATATGATTATATATAATTGTCTACTTATATATATATATTATAAAATAAAATAAATTATTTTATATTAACAAACATTTTTTAATATTATAATTTTTTTTAATCAGTTTTATCTTTAGCTATATATCTATATCTATATATGTAGGTATGTATGTATTACTGCTGAAACTTATTTATTGCCTAATTAATATGTTAATTTCCTCGCCATCGCTTAAGCAGACTACGTCGCAGCCATTCTCTACTTTATATTTTCTAATTCTTTACATTTTTAATTCAGCGTTAAAACAAATAAATAAAAGCGAAAAATACCAGTACTAGTTTGTTTTTCTTAAATTTGTCGATTTTTGGTCAATTGTTCATATATGGGAGCTTGAAAATGCGGGCGCGCCACAACTACAAATGTGATGACGGCATTTCGGCCAGCAAGCTCTGTTATCGTTGACATTAGCAATACAACACCAAAAAGAAAAAATTATATATGTATATAAATATAAAAAAATAAAATAAAAACCACAAACACGAAAAACAAACAACATAACCAGAAACAAAAAAAGAAAATAAAAACCAAAACATATCTAAACAAAACGAACACCGAGTACGGACTTACGAATTTTTATTGTTTTATGTATCATTATGAAAATGCATATACATATGTATTTTCAAAAATAAATTTTTTGCTCGACACAATAAACTTTGATTCATGACATCATTGGAATTTGAAAAATTAGAAACTTAAAGAGCAGCAAAAACACATTCAATTTACTTGAAATCGTTTTTCGGTAAATTGGTTTTTAATACACTGAACAGGATATACTAAGTTTGGCACGATGTTTGTCAAATCCAAAAGGAAACGGCAGAGTCCCTATAGAGTATATAAATATGTATGTAAGTATGTAGGTACTATATAAATTATCAGCGTGACCAGCTAAGTCGATTTAGCCATGTCTTACCGTCTGTCCGTCCGTCTTTCCCTCAATTTTTGAGATATTGATCTGAAATTTTAGACCAGTCCTAGTCATACCAAGAAGCTGCTCATTTGACGGAATGGCCGATACCACTATAGCATATAGCTAGAGCATGGATTTTTGCCTATGGCAATGATGCCATACAAACTGACCAACCAAAGTTCTTGTAAGGAATCTTTTGTATTTGTATTATAGCTTCGATGCAACCGAATTTAAAAGTTTTTTCTCCTTTTTTTTTGAACTCGAAATAAATTTATTTCCACATCAGGTCTCTTTTTTAACAAATCGTTTTGAAGAGCAGGAAAAAAAGTCCTAATACTACTAGCATGGAAACAAAACATACTTTAGACCAAAAAAAAAGCAAGTTTTGCAGCATCAAAATCAGGCATATCAATTCATTTCACTAATGACAAGTTGATCGAAACAGCTACGAAATATACTATAATATATCAATTGAATTCTGATCAATCAACAGCTAGTAGTTAAATATAAACATTACCCAAATGATATCGCTTGTTTACTGACCTTCTTAGATAAATTTGTAGATAATGGTCCATGGAATAGATTTTTGATAAAGATTTCGATTTTTAAGGCTTCAGAGTGCCTTTTCTACAAAAATCTACTATTTTTTGGTAAGCCGCCATATTGTCAAAAATCAACATTTGACTAGTCCTTTGATCATTATCTGTACTCATCTATTCTAATAAATATTTTTTGGTTTTTGGTGGTTCCTTTTTCAGTGGTTCTTGTGGAGATCGACTGCGGCATCAAGAAAAACCAAATTTTTTCAAAATTAAGCGCCGATTATTAAAGCATATTAAAGTCTGTAGATTTATATTATTTCAATTTATTTATTAAATAAAATTACTCTTGAAAAAATATCACAGAAAACGTGTGTTTTCTGACTTGCAAATGAACATTAAGGGTTTCCTCGTGCAAAAAACGGTTCATTTTCACTCTTTTTTTTCATATAAAAAATTAAATATTTTATTCAAACTTTTTATTATTCCAAAGATACGTATTTTACAAAGATTTTGGAAAATTTTAAAATTCAAAAAAATTCGGTAAAACAGGTGCCTCCGCGTTAACAGCAAAACTTCTTACAGGAAAAGTAAAAACAAAAAAATAAATGTTTTAATCAATACCATAAACTAAGTATTGGACGAATCATAAAATCATAAAAAGAAAAAAATTTATTTGTGGCAGACGATTATACAAAAAAAATACAACTTTTAAATGACTATATAGCTGACCTCGAGCGCGCAGTTTTCAAGGTTGTAGCTCCAAAACTATTACTCGCATCAACTTGAGAATTTAGGATAACATTATAGAGATTAATTTAAAGCTGTGAAACCCATGTTTAAAGGTTTAAAGTGTCATGGGGTTATAGTCAGAGAAGTAATTTTATAAAAATTCTTAATCTGACTAAGCTGTTCGGTATATTTCAGAATAATCAAAGTCTGATATTCAGTATTTTTATCAACTCTACATGCATCTGATATAACCCAGACAGTTCATTGAGGCACGCTATTCAATTCTCGCCATTTTTGAATACCAAGATTTTTAATACAAGTGTTTTATAGGTTATGTTAAAGTTCGATTTTCAAAGCAGCACGTGTAGACGATAAATCAGCACTTTTAATATATACAGCACACATTCCAAGAAGGCATATGCCATATTTCATTTACTCATATAATAAAAAAAACACTCTTTTCACATCAAAAACGTAAACAATTACTCACTCTCAATCTAATAAGACCAAAAAAACCGAATACAAACATATGATCGAAAACATATGACTGGTGTTCAAATTATCACAACACTGTTGTAAGAAAGCTAAGTGAAAAAGAAATTATAATAAAAAAGAATAATAACAAAAGTGAAATTGTGCAGGAAATTCCTCACAAAAATACGAAAATACACAACTGGATTGGAACGTCATCGAACAGCAGGAGCATGGAATTGTCTACCGATAAGGTATTTGACTGTGGCAGCGAATGTGAACGTGAGAAGAAGCACGACATGATGTTGAATTTGAGTTTAAACGACCAAAAAAGCGAGAATCTCTTTGCGGGCTGTAAGTAGTTGATGGTGAATTGTGAATTTAAAATTACGTAAATAATCAAATTTATACATAGCCGACCAGACGCCGACACCAACACGCCTGATACGTAATTGTGAAGAAGTGGGACTCTTCGAAGATCTACGTCATGTCAATCCCTTCGAGGAGACCTTTCGACGCGCTTGCGAGCAACATAATGGACAGACACCGATACGCCAACTCGATTCAGTGGAGATGCACGCCGACGAAGATTCACTACACACACCGCAAGTGTATCCACATCTGGAAGCGATACAGAGTTGTGAAATGCTTAGCAAACCGCTGGACAGTCCCACTTCGGCAACGGTTACGCTGGACGTACCCGTCGTGGATGAGATACTTAACGCGGCGACGGACACTTACAAAATCGGTACGTCACGACAGAACTCAAACAATTCGACCACATCTTCGGGGGGATATGGCAAAATTTATAAATATCGCACAATCGCTGAAAAACCAGCACCTGAAGTACAAAGCGATACACGCATGCCATATATACAACTACCAACAACAGCGATACAGTTCATACAACCACAGTTGATTACATTGACGTTCCCCGAGAGCAATGCAAACAAAACGCTGAGCAATAATTTAGAAGTAAAACCAGCGGGTGCCTTAGCGACGAATGCAATACCCATACAGACGGTTAAGCCCTTCATAATGCCAAAATTAGCACCTGCGCCAACAACTGCCAACACAAAGAAAGCAACAACAACAACGCAACTGCCACCGTTGAACACAAAAACTTCCGCCACCACCACAACTGCAACACTTGCCGCTAGCGTTGCAACACAACCCACGTCGACACAACATGAACCAAGTAGCGCCAGCCTCACACCCACCTCGCAATTGCCCATCAAGGAGCGTCTCAAGGCCATACTAAGTCTTGGCAATAAAACACACACGGCGACGCCTATGCCAGTGTCTAAAACCAGTAGTAGCACACGACGTGCGCGCGGTGCGGCAACCGGCGCTTGTAAATATGATGAGGATTGCATGGTGCGTCGACGTGCGGCAGCAACGCGTTATCGCAACAAGATGCGTAACGAACATAAAGATTTGCGGCGACGCAACGGTGAACTGCAAGCGGAAAATGATAAGTTGCGTGCGCGCATCAAACAACTGGAGCAGGAGCTGAGTAAAAGTCAACAACAACAACAGCAGCAGCAAATATTGCAGGCAACAAACGGTAAGTTGCAGTTTTATTATTTTACACCCTGTATAGGGCGCATTAAGTTAGCCAAGAAGTTTGTAACAACCTAAGAAAAACATCGCAGACCCTAAAAATATATCTATAAATGCTCAGCGTGACAAGCCGAGTCTATTTACTCATGTCCGCCTGTCTGTACGCGTACTAGTCGCTAAGTTTTTGAGATATCGCACTGAAATTTTGCACACATCCTTTTCTATCGAAGAAACTGCTCATTTGTCGGAACCGCCGTTATCGGACTACTATAGCATATAACTGCAATACAAACTGAACGATCGAAATCACGTTCTTATATGGAAAACTTTTTTATTTGAGAAGATTATCTTCACAAAAGTTGTACAAATAAACCGCTTAAAATCAGATTCTTGTATGAAAAGTATGAAAGTTATAATACCTTTGATAACTACGGTGCAATCAAAGTTAACGTTTTGTCTTCATTTCTCAGTGAAATTAATAAATGAAAATGTTAAATTTCAGGTGGTTTACAAACGGTGCCGGCGCAAGTACAAATACCACCATCAACATTGCATCTGGTAATGAATATACCAACAATGGTTGTGCCGTCAGCCGGACAACCATCACTGGTGCAACCCATAACATATCGTGTGGAGAAGAAATAAATGTTTTAAGTTTATGAAACTGGAAAATGCCTTACAAGTCTTCCGAAAATAGTGAAACTAGTTTACAAATAGAATTGTATTAGCACAAAGTGCCTCTGTTATAAATATCTGCTATTTAGCAATTATCTATATATATTATAATAATTTATTAATGATATATTATATTATCAATTATTTGAATTTATATAATTTTTACATAAAAATTATTAATTATTAAAATTGTAAATTAGTTGACATGAAATAAAACTAAATATAAATTATGATTAAATATTAACTAAGAATTCTAAAAAAAAACAACTCAATATTTGGTTCGTTAGCCTAAAAGCAAAACAGTTGCGTATGTTTTGCTGCAATTCTTCTACTGTAGGTCTTTTTGGGACGGAGCTAGATTATAAGCCTTTTCGTTTGGACGCTGTTTATTTCATCTAAAAATCACAGCTCATCTGGCATTGTGAAAATGGCATAAACTAACACCAAAAAATGTATTATTTCCGCATAAAAAATAATAGTATAAACAAAAATTAAGCGTAAAAATGCAAATTTGAAACTACAAACTACTAAAAAAAATAAAAAAAGAAAAAGCATGCTCAAACCTTTAAGGCCGCTAAAAATTGCTTATTCTTTAGTGTTGAGTATTTCATTAAATTCTCTTTGTATTTCTTCAATTCTCTCTTCAATGGTATCTAAATGTGAATTATTGTTGGAATTGCGTGGACTTAATGCTCCTTTCGGCATATTTGTTAGCTAACAGGAAATGAAAGTTATAAACAAAAATTATTTAGTACAAATTTCGTACACAAACTTTGCACAAATCTTTTTACTTCTTTAACTTGCTGCTTGAGTGCATGGCGCTCATTGCACAATCTTTGTAAATCCACATGATATTTAGTACGCAGGGAACTAGATCCAGTTGTTGTCAAACATTTTTGCATAAACAGCTCCATCTCTTCATTACGCAACTCCTCTTCAGCCATTAGTAAATCGGCGTCATTACGCGTGCGCTAAAGACACAAGAAATACAGAAATACATTATAATTGCACAACTTTTGCTTTTTGTAAAAAATTAGTTCACCACTCACTTCGCACTCTATACTTTGCATTAATAGCTCGAGATCCTTTTCCATTTTCAGCGCTCTTTGACGTTGCTCTGACTCCTGCACTTGGACTGCAACTTCGGCTTTGCGATTGCGCAACTCTTTCTGATACACAGCCAACATTTGTCGTTGACAAGCTAAACGTTCTTCCTCCCGTTTGAGCGAGTCACGATAGAGTTTCTCCATTTCTATGAAACACACAAAATCAAGTTTAATGTTAATAACTTAATTTTTGCGCATATCAAAACTCACTTTTCACTTGTCTTGCATGCTCCTCTCTACGCAGGCCACTCTGCAGACGCTCCATTAATTTCATTTCCTCCAGCTCCAATTTCCTTATGCGTGTGTCAATACACTGCTTTTCTCTTTGTACCGCAGCAATATCTCTCTCGTGTTTAACCAACCATTGGCGTGGATAATTCAAAAATTTCGGATATACTTTCTTGGGTATACACTGAAACTCCGTCATATAACGTTCGGGATGTAATGTTTTGGGACATTTCCGCATAATACAGTTTGCTGTATTTATCAGCTTACACATATCAATCGGATTCTGTTCATGAAAGAAAGTCAAAATGGTTGGCTTATCGGGGAGACGCATAATTATTCGACGTTGCACGATATTGTATGCCACAACTATGAAAATTTGATAATATGGTGGCGCCGACAGTATATTATCCCATAGGTAAAGCCAATTAGCTTCGCTAAACACCTCGGAGAAGGCAGAAGACAGTAACGGCCACGCATAGTGTTCGGGATTTACATGCATACTGGCAAAAAATTTGCATAGCTCCGTATGTTCGGATTGCAATATGTTTTCACACAAGCCTAAATAATTGTTTGGCTCCAATGGATGCAATTCGAACCACATTTGAAAGTGATTCGTCAACAGCGTGACACAAATCTCAAAGACGACAAGCGAATTGCGCGGCAGCAATTTCACAAATGGAAATATGAGCTGTGGCAGAAATTTACTATGCGCAAAAACGGGACACCAATGCGCCAGGCATGACCATATGCGTACTAGCGCATTTTTCAATGTACCATCACGTATTGGTAACTGTTTAGCGCGTTGCTTTACGATTGGTGGTATACCCATTTTTAAGAGTTGAAAAAATTCATTGCGATTATAAGGCAATTGGAGCAGTGCACACCATATGAGCACACGATATTTACACGGGAACCAACGAAATTCACGCAATATGTTCAAGAGGCGATCACGACTAAGCAAGTTTCTGATATCCTCATTCAGGCATTCGTTCTGTGTTGCCACCAGTGCGGTTTTACAATGACGTGATGGACCAAGCAGCAACGGTTTATTTTGTCTAAAAGCCAACTTTATCAAACGCAGACATTCCTCTTGTGACTTAAGGGAATTGTAGATTTGGCAAGTGGACCAAATATCTAGCTCACCAGTTCTATTAAATATCGCTAAGTATTTGCCATCACTAGAGATTGAAAGTCTGGCCGCATTCTTTGCTTGTATACGCAATTTAATATCCTTTTTCAGGCAATTCAATATGACTACTTCGCCGGATCTATCGGTTATGCCACAAAGTAGTATCTCCTTTGCTTGGAGCAGAAAGACGCAATGTCGTATGACAAAATCTTGTAGCCGGCATATATGCTGTAAGTCTAAAGTGTATGTGTTAATTAACAATAAATAACCGTCGCGTGTGGAAAGGCAAAATAAACCCATATACGGATGAAAACAATAGCCAATAATGAGGCCATTTGAATAATTTGACACCATACAATCAACGTTGAAAATACCACCGCCACCATTATAATCTTGGCAGAGTACAAAATCTGCTGCTAAACCTGCGGCGCCTTCCATGCGCAACTTACGATCACGCATTTTTATGGGATGTATTACACGTATAGTATTCAAAGTGACGCCGGACCATATTTGTACGGTATCATCATTAAAACAGTTAAAAATATGATCTGAATGTGAAAAGTAGTAGGAAAACTGCAGTTGAAAATTTTTGTTTTTAAACGGAAAACGATGTGTTGGCACGAATTTCTCTACATCAAACAGTATTACTTCATAGCCACATTGCACAAGCACTAAATGTTGTCGGTTTACGGTTTGAGGTGGGCATGATATTGCCGATATTTCACCACAATTTTTACATAAATAATTGCGATGTGTAATAGTTGATTGATCTGTAAATGAAAGATTATGTATTGTTACATACAAAATAACAAATTTGCATATACCTAAATCCAATAACGTTATCTCGCTCGTTTCACTTCCTAGGAGAAAATGATTATTTCTTTCTCTCCATGATGTTATTGCAGTGGGATGTAGTTGGACTTCACTCAATTTCCAGAAACATTTGTTCGCCAAGTCAAAAGCAAATATGAAACCACTGCAAGCGAACAACAAAAACATATTAAAGGTTTATGTTTCAAAACTTACTAACAAATTTACTTACACTTCAGCAATTACCACCATTATAGAGCATTGTTCATTAAAAGAGCACAACTTTATATTGGGACTGAATTTCGTATTGTGCCATTCAGATATATGATGCATGCTCAGAATATTGCTAATAAAAAAATAGAATAATATAGTAATACAACATTGCAGCGATAAACATATTTATATCTAGATATACATACTATACAAACATATATTTGTAAAAAAATTACAAAAATATTTACTCACCCCTTTTCACTTTTCTTAAATCTGAATGGGTATTTGCGTAATTCATCCTGGGCTTCTAAAAATATGCTTGCTAAAGGATTATCATCATCCTCTTCCATGTTTTCCGGAGAATATGCACTTACATTAGCATTTAAGTTTTCTTTCACAGAATTACCTTCTGTAGCCTCAGTCACGGCGGCGTCTCTAATATCATTAATTATTTCGTGCACCATTTCATTTGGTGTTTCGACGTTTTTCGGGTTATTTGCTTCATTTACAGAATTCGGAATCATTTTATCAGCGCTTTCCCCATTATTTTCCATTTTTAGTTAGCTAGCGCGCTACTTTAAAATGGAATATGAATTTTTCTACAACTGAATTAAGTGCTGCCAAGTTATAAACGAAAATTTATCTCCGATCAAAATAACAGCTGATGACGAAAAAATATTTAGCACCCGCGACCAATTTCTATGAAACGTTTATTTGAATTTGAATATCTTTCAAGCACTGATATATTCGTATACACTTTATTTAATGTTGTTTAACTCAATTAGTTTAATAAACCAGAGAAACACATGGTTAAAAGTTGTTCAACTTGCCAAAATATGTATTTCCACGAACACTACTCAGATCAACAACTTTACACAAATATTGAAAATATACTGTGGCGGTTACCTGCTTAAAAGTGACCTTGAAAATAGCCGAGACTTATCGAAGTGTAATATAAAAAACGAATGAAGTTATCGCAGATCAATTTATCGAAAAAGAAAGCAAAACTAATACTAGATTATATAATAGTTATTAATTTGATCAGATGGTATTATTATTTTCGATAACGTTTAAATTGTAGCTGTCACTCATATTTCGGTAGCTTTTCACTAGAAAAACTTTACCAAAAACAAAAAAAAGAAACGAACTGTAAAACTTGCATATTAATTGTAAGCAAAGTGTAAATTGTCTTCCAAATAAGTTGTTCAGATCGGACCACCATAGCATATAGCTATAGTCATCCAAACAGACCGGTCAAAATAAAGATAACGATAAGAAACCTTAATTTGACACATATTACACAACGTGGCTAGAAAGAACTAGAGACTCTTTTTACGTTGGATGTAAACCGTTATTCCTTTACGTTTTCAGATTTATTTATACATATGCAGTTGCTATAAGATATGCCGATGTGAAAGGTATTACAGCGACGTTTTTTTATGTTTATTTTAGCAAATACAAACCCCGCTAGCATGTTAACTTCGAGATGATTGTGCGGCGGTTTTGACAGCGTTAATGTTTTTATCGATTTAGTTTGCATAGACCTGAGTCTTGTGTCACTGGACGACTACGTATATATATAAAACAACATATCCCAGAAGACTTTACTTTCTTTGTCTTGTCTTCTAAAACTATTTATACTTACTATTTAGTAAAATTGTAAATAATATTTAAATATATGCATATGTATGTGTATGTATAACATTGCCGCCTAACCCCATCTTCAGGATTACATCTCAGAATTTCGGCGTTCTCAGCTACCATGATATGACACTCAACTTCGCTCTTTAGTTATTTATCAACAAATTATTCACCTCACGTGCAAATCTCACCTTTAACTTTCATACTAATCGAGATCGAATTAATTGTGGTGAGTAAATTCCAATTTAATCAACATAAAACAGTGTTTCATCTCACCTGCAAATCTCACCTTCAACTTTCAGGCTATGACATAAATCATTATCCTCTTTTTTTAGAATATTAAACGCATTTATTTGCATTGCAAGTTTACACTTCAAAAATAACAATTTAGGTGAGTTTTATATATTTTTTTACGATTTGCAGCTACTAATATATCTTTGTATATACCATTTGAATATTTGTTTACGAATAAATTCACACATTTTAAAGATATTATATATAATGAGCTGAATTTTAGGTGGGGAGAAGGAGCATACACACACATTTGACTCGTAATTATTTCGAAAATTATTTAAAAGAAAAAATGCAACACATCGGCACATATTCAATATATAAAACTCTGGGATGGAAAAGACTTCAGCCAATCATATTCACAGACATTTTTGCTTCATTCTAATTAACATATTTGCATCCATGGTGTTTCGTTGTAACTCTTCAAACGCGGTGTGGTGGGGTGTGGTGGGATGTGAAGTGGAGTGTATGAGAAGGAGAGCAGGGCAGTTGAGAACCTCATTCTCTTACTCCATGCCAACAAGGTGGATCAATGGCACAATGCCAACTACCACAACGCCGCCGCGCGTATCGCTATTTACCCAAACCCACCCACATGTAATTGGGATCGATGAATTGTGAACCATGATAGCCGCGAGGGTTCATAGCCACCAAAGAGCGTATCTTCTGTGAGGGTCGATATGTGCGAATCGCATGCAACAACTCTGTGAATACAAAAATAGAGAGAGTCTATAATCAACTAGATCTACAAGAATAATATAAAAGTTTTGTATACAAACCCGCATTTGCCTCATGTTCACCGGCCATTCTCTCATGCAGCTGCCGCAAAGGATGATGACCTTCGAGCAATTTCGCCTCCTCGTGATTCAACGGTCGTGATTTCTCATTGTAGCGCACATTTTTCGAAAGATCCGTAAAGAAGTTGCCCAGATGGGTCATGGCGCCTATAATTTTGGAACATTATATAATATATATAAAGATTAAACGCTTAGTCATGAATCATTTCGCGCACAAACTCACCAGCGCTTATAGAGGGCAGAAAATTCCGGTGATCCATATTACCGGTTTTGTTGCGCTTGTAAGCCAATTTCTTTGCCTCGTTAAGCGCTTGCTGTCGTTCGTGCTGATATGCTGTGTAGGGTATATAACCAGAATCCAGACCAAGATTACGCGCGTATAAAATACGTTTGGAACGTAATGGTTGTTCAATTTTATATCGTCCATTATCCCCACTCATATCCAATTTATAATCATAATCCGTTAATGTGTCAAATATTCGGTCATGTTTCTCTCCATCCTCATTCAGCGCGTCAGCCACGGTGATGTCGTTCTCACTTTTATCCATTTCAGGTAAAAGTTTCTTCTTCTCACCTGGCATAAATTCGGGTGTCTTCTTGTAGACGACCACATCTGCGTCGGGTATGTCAAAATCATTTTGTTGCTCCGATTGTTGTTGCTTTTGCGCCGGTTCTAATGACTGCTGCTGCTGTTGTGACGTTTCCGTCTCACCTATTTGTTGTTGCGTACGCAACGCTTCCTGTCGTCTTTGTTCAAATAACCAACTGCCTAGCCATTGCATTTGCCGCTGACGTCTTTCCTCGTCAGGAATTTCAATATCATTTGATTGCAATAAATCTTGCAACGACATTTCATCTGCGATTGTTTTGCCAAATACGGCATTTCCGTTTCCGTCTATAGATTTTTCATTTTCGAAATTTCGCGAATCAAAATTTGCAAAGTCGTCATAGTATTGGCGAGGCCAATGTTGGGGATAGTAGCGCAGCGGTGAGTCAGGTGGCCACTTGGCTGCCACTGCGGAGAAAAGTGCATAATAAAAGTAACTGTATTTTATGTTTTAGCGAATTATTCCTTTAAATTTTATAACTTATGAGAGGTTAACCCTTACTTTAAAACAAATCACGATTCACAGATGATAAGGTCTAAAGAGAGAATATTAATTATTTGCGAGTTTTTTTTTCCAACAGAGACGAATTGAAGGATTAGGGATTTGCTAATTTTTTGACAATGCCACAAATAATTTCGAAGATATATGCAAATAAACTGAGATTTGTACATATATAGGGTTTCGTTTTCAACAAAAAAAAAATATAATAAAAGAATTCGCTGAAAGTAATCATGCCAGCTACTATATTCGTCTGCGATAAATAACTAGATCTATATAAATAGTAATAAAACCCTCAACGCACTATAATTTAAGAATATATTATTTATTTTCCAGTACTTTGTTCTTATGACATTGAAGCAACTAAATCAGTGACAATACCATTTCAACTTGTTAAGTGATCCAGCAATATCTAAAGAAATATTGTATTTTGACATTTGAAACATTTATGGCGGAATTTAAAACCGTACATTGTGAAGCAATCTCAGTTGCAATAGACAGCCGAAGCTACACTATCGTATTGGTAGGACGTTCCATACAAGTGGCTTTCATATTTTGCTAATCCAAAACTATCTGGTACAGAAGGTTAAATTCCTACCATATCCGTATTGTTCCTACCATCATTACTATATGCGTACGCTTTCAACAGTGAAAAGTCTTTTATAAACAACACTTCGAACACTAGAAGCCTTAACATACCATAACATGACGTTTTATGGGTCACAAAGACTGAAAAGTCCTCCTTCCTTTTATTGGCGGTCAAATATGCCGCTAAAACAGCAATAACGTCCGAAGAGATGGCTCTCGGGAAGTTCGAGAAAATAGTTTTGTTTTCGCCGTGATCAAGGTCCATAACGATGGTATAATGATTTTCATAAAGACATATGAGAATTTATTGAAGTTCATTCATTTTCGATTAACTGTAATAATTTGTACATTACCCTGTAAAACACACGGCTGCGTATTGGATCAAAATATTTTTTTTCGAGAGATTGAGTTCAAAGTAAAACAGTAATTTCTCCGTTTTTTGAAGTTGACCTCTAAAATCGATATATTTGTCTTCGAATGTCGCCGAATTTTCCTTTATTTTCAATGGTGTATAAGATTTTTGATTAAGGTTATATGACAGATGCTGTATAGGTCTGATTTTCGAAAATAGAAAAAACAGTTTTATTTCAAAACTACTTGAACGATTTCTGATCATGCTATCGTTGTTAATATTATTAAAGCTCATTGATTTCCTCCAATAAAAAACATCGATTTTGCTCTCACAACTAGATTGTTTTGACAACACCTACCTACACCATTTTGACATCCTTCCATTTTGTAGTATATAGACTTAATGTTACTCTCTTTACTATAAGTTTATATTATGAGTAATTGGTTTTTATTGTGAGAATTAAATTGCATATTTTTTAAATGATACCTTTGAATTGACTGCTGAATTCCCTTTCAATTATGCAACACCCGAATTGTGCGCATTTGAAGGCTAATTAGAAATGAGCAATGTTTTGTTTGACTTTGT